TTGATAAAACAGAGAAATTATTAATTTTATTGACTCTCTTGAGTAAAGTCTTTCTTCTTTTGTTAAAGAATTATATAATTTTTTAACTTATTGTTATTATTATTATTTCTTAAGTTGTTTTAGGGAGCTTGCACTCACCAGTAAGAGAGAGAGAGCAAGAGAGAGAAAGTGAGAAAGCAAGGCATCAAATCCAGGACTCAAACTGTGCTCAGTCATGTGAGAGTCCAGCTCCTTAACCACCATGCCACCTGCTGGCCCTGAGTAAATGTTTTTCTAATTTTCAAGTAAACTAAAGTAAACACAAGACCTGAAGTATCTCTGGGCAAACAAAGACAGGTAGGCCTCATAAATGATCTTTACTTTGTTCAATTGGCAAACATAGCAAAACTTAATTTCAGCTATATCTTGTAAATGTTTCTATGAAAGGAAAACAGAACTAAACTCAAACAATTAAAAGTAGCCAGCTACCTCATAATTATATTACTAGGGACTCTGGAGCAGAACAGGCCTAGTGGAGCCAGCAATTGGCATGATGGTTAAGGTGTTAGATCCCACTTGGCCGACCGTGGTTCGAGTTCTGGACCTGGTGGATTGCTTTTTCATTCTTCTTCTCTCTCTGTCTCTCTCTAGTCAAATCAAAGATACTAATAACTAAAATCAAATAAATAATTATTTTAAAAAGAAACAGGCCAAATAAGATAACTTTATAACTGTAACCAGCCAAATACTTTCTTTCTTTTACTTCCATGTTCACTGTAGAAAGCAGAGACCTCAAACCACTTCTGGTTTGAAACTACCTGATTCATAAATCATTGTTTGCACAAATAAATTATTTTAAATTGTGTTGTTTCTCAGTTTACTTTATAAAACCAATATTCTGTGTAATAAAATGAAATGTGTATATAAAGCATTTCTGGAGTATAAGGTATGATGGTCATCTTTAGAAAAATCATTTGAGCAATTATATGGACTTAAAACTGAACTAGTCACTTTTTTACGAAATGTCCATTTTACTTGAAAGAATGGCCAACAAAGACTCAGATACACGGCAGACATTTTCCCAGAAATTAGCAAAGTCAGTTTGCCATTTCAAAGAAAATAGCTGTCATCTTTACCATTGTTCTTCTAACAATGTATGGCCAAAATTCTTCTATCAAAAAATGAGGTCAAGGCTGTCCTCAAGGGAGCTGGACCCCATATGGATGGCTACAGTTCAACTCCTAGCCATAGTAGCTTGAAAAACGATCCAGGCACAAGTGTGTGTGTGCCCAAAATCTTGTTGGAATGGAGAAATGAAGGAGAAGATACTGGGCATGACTACTACACTCCTTTGGATGTGGTCTTTCACATGAGTGCACACACCCTCTGGCAATAAAAAGAAAAAAGAAGTGAAATCAATGTTGAATCAAATTTCATTCTTTTGTAAAGCACCACAGTATTCGAGAATAACTAATCACCTATTAATCATGATAAACATTTATGTTCATTTTATTTTGCTTTCACTCTTCTTTGCAATATACCAGCAAACATCTTTCTTCCTTGACTGTGTATGTGTTCAAATATTTTTGAAAGAGGATTGCCGAATAAATTGGTGGGATAAAAAGTATATACATTTCAAATTTTACAATGTTGAAGGAAAACACTATTAACACAAAATTACATAACCAGTAAAAGTATTCTTCTGAAATTAAAGATTAAATAAAGACATTATCAGATGAAGGAAGACTAGCAGAATTCCTCTAAGAGAAGTGCCAAAGAAACATCTTCAGACAAGAGAAAAATGGAACTTCAAATGAAGAAAGAACGACAGAAATGATAAATATTTGTGTAAATATAACAGGCTAGTTTTCCTCTTAAGTACTTGAAAATAGACATGGCAATGCTTCTAACACTGCCTGGTGGAGTTTTGGGTGTATGTAGATGTACTATACATGACAAATATACCACAGAGAAAGCAAAGTAACTTATAAAATGGCAAATTTTCTATCTTTCACTTGAAATGATAAAGTACTAATTTTATCTAGACTGTTTAAAATTACCTTGTACATTCTAATCCCTAGATAAATCATTTTAAAACTACATAAAGAAATATAGTCAAGGGCCGGATTCATGGCTGGGTGGTTAGGGAGCCAGATCCCACATGGCTGACTGCATGTGGCTACTTGAAACATACATCAGGCACATGTGCATGTGTGTCCAAATTTCTAACAAGATGAAGAAATAGAGAAAAGAATGCAGTATGACCATGCCCCATTGTGGGGTGCTTTCTCCCTCTCCCTCTTCCTCTCCCTCTCCCTCTCTCTCTCTGTCTCTATGTCTCTCTCCGGTAACTGCACACAATCTCTGACAAATTTAAAAATAAAAATGTGAAAAACTCAATAAAGAGGCCCGACAATGTCACAGCAGTAAAACATGTCAGTCCTCTCACTAAAGAAGGCTGCTGGTTTGTGTCTGGAGACCACCCGGGGTGTACCAGGCTCATGTGTGTCCATGATCCAGACAGGATGGAACTGGAGGTTGGACTGTGACGTCTAGACCCTACTGAGGTTGCTGTATCTCTGTCTCTCTCATTCATGGGATAAATAAATAAACATTCTAATAAAGAAATTCTTTTTTTTTACCTAATTAACCCATTTATTATAGGCTGGCGGTATTCCAAATGTCTATGGAGCTTCTACTGGTCTTTCAATTCCTTCAGTCTTCTGATGGCAGACTTTACTGTGACAGCCGAAGTGGTGTCGTAGGTCCACGCCCCACTGGCTACCGTTTTCATGCAGGAACCACAGTGCCAGATCCCCACAGCCCGTCTCTCCATCTCAGTTTTGCCACAGAAGGAGCAAGTGTACTTGGCGTGATTTCAGTTTTCTTCACCATTTTCTGGAGGGAGACACCATAGCGGGTCCCATATTTACCAATAATGCTGACCTTTTGGTCCGTTTAGCCATATGGCCGTCAGCCAGGTCCCAGCCCAGAGAGCCTAATAAAGAAATTCTTAACAATAGTAATAATAGTAACTTGTATTTATTTAGATTTTTTTTAAATCAATTAAAAAAAAAAAAAAACCTGAAGTAAACCAATGTTATTCTATTCTTGTTTCCTTGTCCCCACCTTTTAAAACCCACTGCTCTGAAGCAAGCAGGTGGTATAATTGTTGGGGCACTGGACTCCCACATCAACCGTAGTCCAAGTCTAAGACCTGGCTTTCTCACTTTCCCTCTCTCACTCTCACTCTGGTGGGCGTGCATGCCCTGCAGCAAATTTAAAAATAATAATAATGATAAATTAAATAAATAATTCATTTTTTAAAAATCCACTGCTCTGCCATTGCTCAGTGGGAGCTCTATATCTATTTTGCTGGTGAACAGAAGCTGCCCTAATTTGTAAATGACAAATAAAACCAACCAGATCTATATATTTTTTAAAAATACAGAAATTAAAAGGGATTTTTTAAATAATTATTTTATTTAACTTTACTTATTTACTTATTTTCATTTATTATTTTAATTTGACCAGAGAGGGACAGAGTGCAAAAGAGAGAGAAGGAAAGTGAGAAAGCAAGTCAGGACTCAAACTGCAGTTGGCCATGCGACAGTCCAGCACCCTTAACCACCATGCCACCTGCTGGACCCCAAAAGGGATATTTTTAAAAATTCAAATAATCGGGACCAGCAAGTGGTATTGTGGTTAAGGTGCTAGATTCCCACATGGCTAAACACAGTTCAAGTCTTGAATCTGGCAGCTTGTTTTCTCTTTCTCTCTCTTTCTCTCACTCTCTGGTGAGTCCACATGCCCTACAACAAATTAAAAATAAATAAATAAAACTGGGTTCAACAGGTGGCATAATGGTTAAGGGCACTGAACTCCCACATGGCCAACCGTGGTTCAATTCCCAGACCTGGCAACTTTCTTTCTCTCTCTCTCTTTCTATCCCTCTCTGGTCAAATTAAAATAAATAAATAAAAATAATAATTCTTAAAAAAAAAGAACTACAATATACATTAAATAAGTTGAAAATTCATAAGAACTGTATTTATTTTTTAAATATGCTATAAACAAAACAGAAATGTTGGAAAAATGCAATGATAGCTATTGAACTCATAGGAAGGCTTGAACATCAGGAAGGCAAATAACCAGGGAAACTCTAAAGACTTAAACAATTACTGATGTGCAAAGCTGATTATCTTAAATATCTGGGTTCCTTGGAAAAATTATCAGAGGGACTGGCAGGTGTCATGGCGGTTATGGCATTGGACTCCCATGAGCAGATCATGGTTCAATTCCCAGACCTGGCAGTTTGTTTTCTCACTTACCCTCTCTCCCTTTCTCTGTCTCTGTCTGGTCAAATTATTAATAATAATAGATAAATTAAATTAAACTTTAAAAATTCTTTAAAGAAAAAATATTGCAGGAAAAAGCAGCTTATTGGTAGGCTTGGTTCTCCTCTTTCCCCTGGGTCACATCAGTTATGATCAAGGAATCATGGCAATATACTATAATATTCCTGCTTCTAGAGGATGTGAGAATGATCATAAACTCAAAAGTTGAAGTAGGCCAATAGATGCCTCCAACAAACTTATTCAAGAAACATGTTTGCAAAGTTTGTATGTTGATCCACTATCATGCTGGCTACTGGAGACGCCTGTAAAATTAACTAAATAATAATAAACAAGCTAGAATCCCTAATCTCCTCCAACTCTTCTGATTCTCATGTACCAACTGTCAATTCTAGGCATAATTGGGCTGACAAACAGCAAATCATATCTGTAGCATTGGCCCTGCTCTAACATTAAGGATAAGTACAGGTGGATCACTCTTTTGTATCTTACGTAGCTTATGCTTCCTCCTAGAATCAAGAGAAGGAAATTCATTGCATACTGGCATTTGGGAAAGGCTGCTATCCAATGTAAGTACTGTGTGCAGCACACAAACCTCCTTTGGCTGCACATCACTGCTTATAGCCGGAGGCCATGAAGAGGCCAATAAAGGCCTGAGCTCGAGATCACCCACCCAGACCCAAGCCTCCCTCTCTGTCATCCAGCCATGAAGCTCCTCTTTCCTATCTTTGCCAGCCTTATGCTACAGTACCAGGTGAACACAGGTAATGTAGACTATTGGGTTTAAGAGGGGTCAGTGTAAGGAAGCAGAGACTCGGCCATCCATGACAATGGAAATCCAAAGAAATAATAAAAGATGGATTGCTCAAACAGATGGCCGAAGAGCTTACCTATTGCATGAAATATGTACCATCCTCAATGCATCCCCATAGGCGCCAATCCAAATTCATGGAGACCCCCAGGGGGTTATAGGGAAAACAGGGTATTTTTGGTATATTTAGCAGCCTTTTTGCTGTATACATATCTATCATTCTGAGACTCGGTCCAGGTCTACCTCATTTTTCCTCTATTCTAATTTAAGCCATCTCTTGAAGCAAAGGTTTCTATGTTTATCCCATGGTGAAGGAAAAATGAAGTCCTTATTTTCATGCTTAGGAAAACCGATTGGGATCCAGTAAACAGATCCAGGTCTGTGTTCTCCATCTCAACTTTTTCAGGTTTTTAAAGTCTTCTTCCTTTACTCAGCCTTTGTCTTCTTAGAAACTGCCAAACTACCTGGGGCCAGCAAGTGACATGGTAGTTAAAGGCGCTGGACTCCCACATGGCCGACTATGGTCCAAGTCTTGGACCTGGTGGCTTGCTTTCTCACTTCCTCTCTTTCTCTCTGTCCATCTCTAATCAAACTGGAAAATAATAATGATAATAAATTTTTTAAAAGTTAAATAAAATAATTCTTTAAAAAAAAAAAAAAGAAAAGAAACTGCCAAACTACCATAAGAACATCGAGAAATGCATTATAGCCGTAGGCTGAACCAGAGGACTCGTCATTGGTTTTGGAAAAGCAGGGAGAAGTACTGAGACTTGTTGCACAATACAACTATCTCCCAGATATTTAGAACAATTAACAATGGGTCAGGGAAGGGAAAGTAAAAGAGTCAACGATGTTTGTAATGTTGTTTAGGGTTCTGAGACCCAAAGAGAATAGTATTACCAACAGCAAGTATGACTATTGTGTTGGATAAAGTAATTTAACCACTTTGAACTTTAAATTCTATATGAATATGTGTGCAAGGGAATATTATTCAACAAAATGTCATTTGAGATAACAAGGGTAAGCTTAGAGGACATTATCATTAAGTGAAATAAGACAGGCATAGGAAGAGAAACATCACATGTTCTCATATATGGAAACTAGAAAGGGTGACCTCATAAAAGTGGAGAACAGAGGGGCCAGTAGGTGGCACCATGGTATAGGCTGGATTCCCACATGGCTGACCACAGTTCGAGTCTCGGACCTGGCAGCTAGCTTTCTTACTTTACTTCTCTTCTCTCTGGTCAGCTTCAAAAAAAAAAAAAAAAAAATGGATGGTGGCAAGGAATAAAGTAATTCTAAAAAAAAAAGAAGTAGAGGGACCAGCAGTTAGTGTAATGGCTATGTCGCTGGACTCCCATGACCGTGGTTCGAGTCCCGGACCTGGCGGCTTAAACTCAGGCTGGACATGTGTGCATGTGTGCCCAAGATCTGGAGAGGAGAATGGAGGAGAAGGGATTGCAGCGTGGCCATCCTCCCTGGGGGGTGATTTCTCGCTTTCTGTCTCTCCGTCTCTCTCTGTCTTTCTGGCGAGCACACACGCCCTATAGCGAAAAACCTCTCAAAAGAAAGAAAGAAAGAAAGAAAGAAAGAAAGAAAGAAAGAAAGAAAGAAAGAAAGAAAGAAAGAAAGAAAGAAAGAAAGAAAGAAAGAAAAAAATAGCTTAAAAATTAATTCTAGAGGCTGGTAAGAGAGGCTAAATAGAGATGTTGGTTAACAGAAGCAAAATTACAGATAGATAATAGGAACACATTCTAGTGTGGTAAAGCACAGTAGGGTAACTGTAATTTAGTAGGTACCAAACTCCCATATAAATAGCTAACAATGTACTGTATATCTGAGCGTATCTAAAAAAGAGGATTTTTTTTTTATTGCTAGGGAGCATGCATACTGTCCAGAAAGAAAGAGAAAGAAAATACCCTCCAACAGGGCATGGCCATGCTACAGTCCTTCTTCCTCCATTTCTCCTTCCGTCCAGGATTTGGGCACATGCATGCCTGGCATGTTACCCAAGCACTGGGGACTGAGACTCAACTGCACTTATCCACATGGGGTCCAGTTCCCAAAAACAGTACCTAACCTACATTATGGGACCATCCCTATAAAAAGAAGATTTGGAATTTTGCAACAGAGTAATGATAATGATAATGATGAGATGATGGGTTTTAACCATGACCTACTTTACTCTTATACTGAAAAAATCATATTGTACCCCATAAATATGTACAGTTATTATATGTCAATTTAAAATGCTTCCCAAAATTTCACATGAATGTAACGAGGTTCTTAATACAAATGCTTCCACTGAAAGAATTCTGTGTTTTATATTTGGTATTTGAGATGACAGTCTGGAAATGTATCTGAACATTAATTAAAAATTATTTGAAGTTATATGGAAAATCAGTTGAATAATTAAATGAGTGAGGGAGAAGAGTTTTCTTGATTCAGAAAGAAAGGTGAGATAAGTTGGATATGTCATACAGTTGGTGAAGATGAGAAGCTACACTGCACAGGGAATTTAGAGCTACAGACGACAATAGAGGAGTTATCTTTTGTTTGTTTTTGGAGTGGTTTTTGCTATAGAGTGCATGCGCTCACCAGAGAGACAAACAGAAAGTGAGAAATCACCCACTAGGAGGGATGGCCATGCAACAGTCCCTCCTCCTCCATTCTCCTCTTTGGATTTTTTTTTTTTTTGAGAGGTTTTTTGCTATAGGGCGTGTGTGCTTGCCAGACAGACAGAAAGAGACACAGAGACAGAAAGTGAGAAATCACCCCCCCGGGGGGATGGCCACACCGCAATCCCTTCTCCTCCATTCTCCTCTCAGGATCTGCGGCACGCACGCACATGCGCCGGGTGTGAGTTTTAAGCCACCGGGTCCAGGACGTGAACCGCGGTCGACTACACGGGAGTCCAGCGACATAGCCATTACACTAACTGCTGGTCCCTTGGATCTTTTTTATTTTTAATATTTTAGATTATTTAATGATATTGTGGTTGTGGGTTTTTTTATTTTTTTGTTTTTAATTAATTAATTAATTTACATTCATTCATTGAGCATGGTCACAGCATACAAAATGTGATTTCCCATCCAGAATATGCTGCATAGTGGCTTAATCATACATGTTATCATCAGTAATTTTCCATTTCTAGTTTCATATATATATTTTCCCCCTATTTCTTACCCTCTGCCATTTCCCACCCTCCTCCCACACTATATCAGGTGTCCACAGTTGTTTTCCATTCCTTTTTTCCCCCACATTTTATTGATCCACAAAATTTATTAAATAACTACTTTCAACAACAAGCTCTGCTGATATATACATATCTATGAATACATGTCTGACTTTAGGCATGAACACTCTGAGTATGAATATACTATAAGGTAGCACCTAGCTGATGCTATCTAGCTTTCTATGGTCATTATGTATGTATTTTTACTGTATTTTTTAATTTCAAGAAAAGCAGATTTAGCTTTAATAAAGAAATGCTAAGGAAATATGCTTAAAACTTAAAGCCAGGAAACAGGTTAGGATTCTGTTAAATAGTAGGTACATGAACCTATGGACAGCTCAAGACAGGACAAAAATCTTTAAAGCTGGACAACAAAGGCTAGAAGAAAATCAGCAATATTTTAGTCAAAAGTCACAAAATGCTATTTCACAGGTTCAGTCTCATGTACTTAATCTATCTTCTGTTGTGGTTCGATCTTCCCAATTGAATTCTGGGATATAATATTCAACTCCAGACTTGTCCCCACAATTAGGCTGGCCATTTTCTTAGTTTTTGAACTCTTATTTCTGTGTGTCTGCATTTAATTTTCCTGATATAGCACTCCCTGCAGAACTTCTTGGAGATCTGGTCTGGTGCTGGTAAATTCTTTCAGGTTTTGTTTATCTGAGAATGTTCTTGTCTTTTCTTCCCATATGAAGGATAATCTTGCTGGGTAAAGTATTCTTGGTTGAAATTGCTTTTCCCCTAACACTTTGAAGATATTTTCCCATTCTTTTCTCACTCATATTGTTTCTGATGAGAAGTCTCCTGTTAACCTGATGGGATATCCTTTGTAGCTAACTTGCTGATTTTATCTTGCCAATCTTAGTATCTTGTCTTTATCTGTGGTTTTGCTCAATCTGGCTATAATGTGTCTTGGGGAAGATTTTCTTGGGTTGATTCTATTGGGGGTCCTTTTTATTTCTTGGAACTGGATCTTCGAATGCCTCTCTAGGTTTGGAAAGTTTTCCTCCAGGATTCATAGAATAGATTGTCAATGCCCTTATGAGTCTCTTCCCCTTCTGGGATCTTCTGGGATACCAATTATCCCAATGTTTGGACGTTTGATGGTAACTAGTATTTCTCATATAATATTCTCATTTTGGGGGACAATTTTCTCAGTCTTCTTGGTGGATTTTTCTAGGCCAGTGATTCTACCTTCTACATCTGAGATTTGATTTTCAGTAAGATCTAGTCTGCTTTTAATACTTTCAAGGGAAGTTTTGACTTCCTGTATTATAGTCTTTATCTCTAACAGGTTCATTTCATTCTTTTTTATAGTGTGAATTTTCTCTTTTAGATCTTGCAAGAATTTCCTCACCTCCTGAAGCTCATCGGCTCCTTTCCCCTGCCTCTTCAGCAGTTCACTGTCTCTCTTCTCTTCAATCTCTGTGAGCTTTGTCACCATAAAAATTCTAAATTCTTTATCTGACATTTCCATGAATTTCATCATACTGTCTGAGGATGAAGAGGAGTTATTATTTTTCCTTGGAGGAGATGTATTTTCTTGTTTTTCCCTATTTCTTGTGACTCTGCGGTGATTTCTAGTCAACTGATGGATGGTGTGTTTCTTCCTATGTCTTGAAGTTTAATCTTAGTGTTCAGAGGTGTGCAGGAGGAGGTGATCTGCAATCTTTCTTCCATTCTGTTCTCACTTTTTATGCATCAGAATCAGTGGTAATACAGGAATATTCTGACCCTAATTGTATCCAGATGTTTAGGTCCCGTTCACTTGGACCTGTCTAGCCACTTAGTAGTGTGTAAGGAGAAAAGACAATGAGGAAAAAAAAAAAAAAAAAAAAGAAAAGAATGAGAGAAAAAGAAAGAAGAAAATATAAAATAGGGGCCAGCAGTTAGCGTAATGGCTATGTCACTGGACTCCCACGTAGTCGACCACGGTTCGAGTCCTGGACTCTGTGGCTTAAACTCATGCCGGGCGCGTGTGCATGTGTGCCCAAGATCCCAAGACGAGAATGGAGGAGAAGGGATTGCGGCATGGCCATCCCCCCTGGGGGGTGATTTCTCGCTTTCTGTCTCTCTGTCTCTCACTGTCTGTCTGGTGAGTATATGTGCCCTATAGCAAAAAACTCTCCCCAAAAAAAAGAAAAGAAAAAGAAAATTTAAAGAAAAAGAAAAAAGGATAATAAAGAACTATAGATTTTAATTTTAAAAAGTAAAAATTGAAAACAGTGTGGCACACAATATTCACAGCTGAAGTTCAGGATCCTATAGAGATGGGCCTGGGTTTGTGCCTTTCCTAAATAGAATGGGGAGAAGCACCTATTAACACAATAAAGGGGCTTGAGAGCCCAGAGAATACTTAACCTTAAAAAAATTATTTTTTAATTAAAAGACTAGAGGAGACACAGAGAGACAGAGAAATGGAGAGAAAGAGACAGGTAACACTACCCACTAGAAATAAGTGAAAAAGAAGTCTCAGCAGAAAATCTTCATTTTAAGTCTCTGAAAGCACTAGTTCACAGCTGAAGTTCAGGATCCATGTAGAGCTTCTTTTGAGATCTTGGGCACGCATGTACACGCACCCAGTGTGAGTTTAAGCCACCTGGTCCAGAACTCCAACCACAGTCAACTACATGAGAGTCCAGCAACATAGTCATTCTGCCATCTGCTGGTCCCTAGAGGAGTTATCTTGATAGAGATGACTTCTGTGGGACAGTGTTTAGAGAGACTGACAGTGATAGAAGACCAGGTTCCAGGAGTAACAGGGATAGAAGATGTTAAACAAGGAATGGTCCAGGACCACTGGGATCGGGAAGCACTCTGAAAATCATATTGATTTGGGGCCAGCAGGTGGCGTAGTGGTTAAGGTACTGGACTCCTGCCTGCCAGTCGTGATTTGAGTAAGCAGACCTGGCAGCTTGCTTTCTCACTTTCCTTCTCTCTCTTTCTCTCTATTTCTCTGGTCACTTTTTATATAATAATAAATAAATAAATAAATATTTTTAAAAGTCTTATTGATTCTCTTTTGAAATTCTTTCTGATATTAGTTTTTATTTTTCTGATATTAGTTTTATGACAGCTCTTACTCTCATTTGTATTTCCTATGATCGTGGGAATGGGATAGTGATGTCCCACAGTGTCCAGGCTTGAGTTAGAAGTCTACAATACCGGGACCAGCAGTTGGTTTAATGGCTATGTTGCTGGACTCCCATGTAGCCGACCGTAGTTTGAGTCCCAGACCCAGTGGCTTGCATGTGTGCCCAAGATCCCAAGAAGAGAACAGAGGAGAAGGGATTGCAGCATGGCAATCTCTAGAGGGTGATTTCTGGCTTTCCGTATCTCTGTCTCTCTGGCTAGCACATGCACCCTATAGCAAAAACAAAACAAAACCCTCTCCAAAAATAAAAAATGAAGCCTAAAATACTTTCCTAAAAACAAATGATTGGGGGCCCGGCAGGTGGTGTGGTGGTTAAAGGCGCTGGACTCCCACATGGCCGACCATGGTGTGAGTCCTGGACTTGGCATCTTGCTTTCTCACTTTCCATCACACTCTCTCTCTCTCTCACTCTGTCCCTCTCTGGCCAAATTAAAATAAATAAGTAAAGTTAAATAAAACAATTCTAAAAATAAAAGTTAAGAAAAAATTATTGGGCTCTATATGCATCTTTCCTCTGTGTGTCCTTAGATTTGTAAAGTTATTCAAGGAAGGAAGACGAAAGAGGGGATTTATTTTTAATTCCAGTGGTACACAGAGATCCTCTTGGCCTGCCCCAGTGCCTCCATCCACATCCCTCAACGCTAGACTTAAAATTGAGTTTCACAAATTCTCTTATACTCTGTTCATCTCCCTCTAGCAATTCTGACATCATTTCTAGTTGTTAACCTTGGCCCAATGGTTTTCTCTTTTCTTTGTGCAGAATTCCTTGGCATAAGAAGATGTTTGATGGGTTTTGGGAGATGTAAGGACAATTGTAATACAGATGAAAAAGAGATACAGAAATGCAAGAAGAAAAAATGTTGTCTTGGGCCAAAAGTGGTTCAAGTGATAAAAGCCTACCTACAACACGAAATACCCCATGTCCTTGGTGACGATTCCCCAGAAATGCTAAAAAGTGCCAAGAATTCTAGTCCCATGATACAATCAAAACATATTTTATCTGTTCTCCCCAAAATCAAACTCGGCCTTTTTGACAGTACCAACTCTGTTATACCAAATGCCACCCTTGTGAACTCCGCCATCACCAATGCCATGACTTCAAGACATATGCCATATGCTGCTACTTCTACCAAGAGTGACACCAAGAAAAGCAGAGATTCTGCCATTGCATCCCCACCACCAAAATCACCACCACCCTAGGTGCTGCCAAGACCGCTGCTGGTGCTGGAGGAAGCAGATGAGCAAGTGATGCGGGTCTCTCCCCTGAGACACCAAGTTCCTCTCTATTTCATGTAACTAAAATGAAACATAGAACTGTTTCTTTTGTCATCACTGATTCAATAAATACTGTTTAAGCACCTACTGTTTACATAATGTTTTAGTTTTCACAGGAGCCTCACAGAGGATAGAGAGCTAAGGAGACGTGGGATTTTAAGTTTACATGTCCAGGAGAATGCAAGCACCAGCAATACTGACTACTGACTACAGCACTGAGCCAAGGATGATCCATATGAGGGCTCTGTAACAAGCATTCATAGCTCTCCAATGGTGTGTGATTCCTGGGTCCACAGGAAGGAAAACATCAAAAGACATATTCTTTTCTTATACATTTTGGGGGTAAAGGCTTATATGCAAAATAGAAAATAGAACAGGAGAAATCAGGCACAGGTTTTTTTTGTTTTTATTTTTTTGGTTTTTTTAGAGAGAGATGTTTTGCTATAGGGTGTGTGCACTCGCCAGAGAAACAGAGCCAGAGATAGAAAGTAAGCAATCATCCCCCAGGTGGGATGACCATGCCATAATTCCTCCTCCTCTCGGAATTTTGGGCACACACATACACTCACCTGTTGTGAGTTTTAAGCCACTGGGTCTGGGACTTGGACCGAGTCAATGGTGCAAGAGTCCAACAATATAACCATCATGCCATCTGCTGGTCCCCACAGGTAGGTTTCTAAATATTGGGTTGTCAGAAGTCATATACATTTTTACATAGAAAAACAAACAAAATAGGTCATGACTTTTCCAACAACCAAATATATTAAAAAAAAAAATCCTAATTAGAAAAAAAGGCAGAAAAACAATTTTTTAAAGAATTATTTATTTTATTTTATTTATTCAGTCACTTATTTTGATTTGACCAGAAAGAGACACACAGAGACAGAGATAGAGGGAAAGTGAGAAAGCAAGCCACCAGGTCCAGGACTCGAACCATTGTCAGCCTCATGGGTGTGTTCAGTACCTTAACCAGCATGCCACTTGCTGGTCCCTTGGGAAAATAATTTGATATATATAAATAACTTTATAACTTTATATACATAACTTATTTATTTATTTTGCTATGGAGTAAGTGTGCTCACCAGAGAGAGAGTGGGAGGTGGGGAGTGAGTAAGCATTTCCCAGAGGTCTGGGATGGTTATCCTTCAATCCCTTCCCTTTATTCTCTTCTCAAGATCTTGGGCACTCACACAAATGGACCTGACATATGTTCCAAGGTGCTTGATCCAAGATTTGAACCATGCAATCAGCCATATGGGATCTAGTCTCCTTAACCATCACACTCCTGGCTGGCCCAATAATATGTTTTATTTAATGTACTATATCCAAAGCATATCAACATGTAATCATCAAAAATTATTTGTGAGGTTTTCTCCTTCAATTGCCAGAGAGCACGTGCACTTGTGAGAGAGGGGGATAGAAAACCCCCTAGTGGGGCGTGGTCATGCTGAGGTCACTTTTCCTATATTTCTCCATCCTGCAGGATTCTGGAGCTTACACGAACACATCTGGCGTGTTTTTAAAGCCACTGGAGCCAGGATTTGAGCTACAGTCAGCTATGTGGGCTCCGACTTCCCATGCACTATATGTAACCACTGCACTACAGGGTCGGCCCAGTGAGATCTTTTACATTATTTTTTTGTACTAAATCTTTTAAACCATGTATGTATTTGTCAGACTGGACAAACAACGGTGATCTGGTTTTGTGATCCCTGGTGATGACTAACCTCTCTTTGAGAAAGGCAGGTTCTTTTATTCCCAAATCAAATGACCAGCCAAATGGAACAAGTATCATTTCTGAATAACTCAGTTTATTACAACACACATACAAAAGAAACAATAGGCAGGGCCAGCAGGCGACATGATGGTTAAAGTCATTGGACTTCCACATGGCCGACCATGGTTCAAGTCCCAGACCTGGTGGCTTGCTTTCTTTTTCTCTCTCTCTCTGTCTTTCTCTATCTCTCTCTGATCAAACTGGAAAATAATAAATAAATAAATTAAATTAAATTATTTTTTAAGAAAAGAAGTAATAGGCAAAAATAAAACCAAGTAAGTAAAAGGAAAGAAAAATTACTCAAGCACAAAGCACTAATAGCAAACCAAACACCATGCATCCACAGAAGAAACCTTGCAGTGTTCCAGGGAAACAGTCTCTTCAAGGTGACACCTGGTTCCAGATCTTCGAGTCAGGAAGAGGTCAATGGACCATTCAATCATGCAGAGTTTCTGACGGCCAATGTCATTTTAGAGTGAATACTCACAAGGATGGAGTCACAGTGAGATGTGTCTCAGATAATTCTGGAAGGCCCTAGTGTTTAAAGTTCTCCAAAAATGTGTTATCTCAGTTTTCAGGTGTCAGTTTTGGAAGGAAAGGTCCCAGATGCCAGTCATCTTATTTGCTCAGTGATGACCATTTGCTAAGGGGTTGTCAACCAGCCATTTGGCTTACTTATAGCAAATACTATAAGATAACATTTTTTGAAGAATTATTTATTTAGAGGACCAGTAGATGGCATAATGGTTATGTCGCTGGACTCCCACATAGTTGACCACGGTTCAAATCCCAGACCCAGCAGTTTAAAACTCATGCCAGGCACGTGTGTAGGTGTGCACAAAATCTCAAGAGGAGAATGGAAGAGAAGGGATTGTGGTGTGGCCATTTCTCCTGAGGGGTGATTTCTTGCTTTCTTTTCTCTCTCAAAAACAAACTGGTCTCATTCCTTTTATTGCCCAAACTACAGTAGCACAGATTCCTACTCCAGTTATTTTAACAGCTTTATTGTGTTATACCCCCATATCCAAAGAAGTGCATGGATTTCATGTGTACAACTGAATGCGCTTGGACATAGCAAATACTGTGATACTATCACCATAATTAAGGTCTGTTTAGATTCTCTGTGTTTTCATACATTAGTCTTGGTAGGTTGTATGCGTTTAGGAATGTATCCATTTCTTCTAGGTTATCTAATTTGTTGGCATATAACTCTACAGAATAGTCTTTTATAATTTTTGTGTTTCTGTGATATAAACTGTAATGTCTCCTTTTTCATTTATGATTCCATTTATTTGCATCTTCTCTTTTATTTCTTAGTCTACCTATTTGTTTTTTATTTTCTTTATCTTTTAAAAAAATCTTAGTTTCTTTGATTTTTACGAAGTTGTTTTCTCTATTTTTGCTCTTATCGTTCTTATTTTTTCCTTCTACTAACTTGGAACTTAGTTTGTTCCTGTTCTTCTAGTTCCTTAAAGTATAATGTTAGGGTCTTTTTTTTTTTTATTTCATGAGAGCACATGTGTGCTCACAAAAGAGTGGGAGTGAGTGAGTGAGAGAGAGAGAGATGAGCACTCCCCATAGGGTCAGCTCAAGCCATGGCTCCCCTCATCTGGTCCTCCAAACCATAGGATCTTGGGCCTTCATGCATGTGCCCAAAGTGTTTTCAAGCTAACCAGGTTGGGGATGGTCACTCTGGGATCTAGCTTCTTTCGAGCAGCAAATTACCGCCGAACCATGGAGCCAGCCTGACAATTTAGACTCTTTTCTTTGAGAACTTTTCTTTTTTGATGACATTTATTCCTTAGGACTGCTTTCATTGCATCTCATAGCATACATTTTGATATGTACTGTTGCCATTTTTATTCATTTTATTAAAGACAACAGATACAGTTTCTTTTTTTTACTCTAAACTCTATTATTTTTTATATTTTTATTTTCCATTCATTCACTGAACATTATCACAGCATACAAAATGCAGATAATTTCAGTCTTAAATTTGTTAAGATTTCTTTTGTGGCCGAACATGGTCTATTCTGGAGGATGTTTCACATCAGTTGAGAAGAATGTCTATTCTGCATCCATTTGATTGAATGCTCTGTATGTGCCTCTTAGGTCCATGTGCTCTAGCGTATAGTTTAAGTCCAATGTTTCCTTATTGATTTTCTTTCTTTCTTTTTTTTTGAAAATAGTGGCTTAATCATGTATGTTATCATCAATAATTTTCCATTTCTAGTTTTATATATATATATATACTTTCTATATTATATAAAATTATATATATATACTTTCTATAGTATATATATATATAAATACTTTCTTGTTCAAATAGTAGGTACATGAACCCATTGGGAGCTCAAGACAGGACAAAAACTCTTAAAACTGGACAAGAAAGCTTAGAAGAAAAGCAGCAATATTTTAGTCAAAAGTCAAAGAATGCTATTTCATCAGTTCAGTCTCATGTACTTAATCTATCTTCTCTTGTGGTTCAATCTTCCTGATTGAATTCTGGGATATAATATTCAACTTCAGACTTGTCCCTATGATTAAATTGACCATTTTCTCAGTTTTTGGACTCTTATTTCTGTGTGTCTACATTTAATTTTCCTGACATAGCACTCCCTTAGAACTTCTTGGAGATCTGGTCTAGTGCTGATAAATTCTTTCAGGTTTTGTTCATCTGAGAATGTTCTTGTCTTTTCTTCCCATATGAAAGATAATCTTGCTGGGTACAGTATTTTTGGTTGCAATTGCTTTTCCCTTAACACGTTGAATATATTTTCCCATTCTTTCCTTGCTCACATTGTTTCTGATGAGAGGTCTTCTGTTAGCCTGATGGAATATCCTTTGTAGGTAACTTGCTGTTTCTCTCTTGCCAATCTTACTATCTTATCTTTGTCTGTGGTTTTGCTCAATCTGGCTATAATGTGTCTTGGAGAAGATCTTCTTGGGTTGATTCTATTTGGGATCCTTTGTATTTCTTGGAACTAGATCTTTGAGCGCCTCTCTAGGTTTGGAAAGTTTTCTTGCAGGATTTCATGGAATAGATTATCAATGCCCTTATGAGTCTCTTCCCCTTCTGGGATGCCAATTATACAGATGTTTGGACGTTTGATGATATCTAGTATTTCTCATATATTATTCTCAAATTTTGGGGCAATTTTCTCAGTCTTCGTGGTGGATTTTCCTAGGCCAGTAATTTTCTCTTCTACATCTGAGATTCTATTTTCTGTATGATCTAGTCTGCTTTTAATACTTTCAAGAGAGATTTTGACTTCCTGTATTATAGTCTTCATCTCTAACAGTTCCAT